GCACGAAAGGATCCACTGTCCCCCCCCCCCCCAATAGCTAGCAATCCAAAACAGTCCAGTGGAGCCTGAGCGGTGGCTGTTGCCTTCTGACACACTTCCGGTGATGTCAGGGGGTGTGGCATATGCAAATAAGTCATGCTAATGGGTTATGCTAATGAGCTCCTGCACCTCTTTTTCTGCAAAATGACCCCTGGTTGATGGTATATGTGCTGTACCACCATTATGAAAATTAAACTAGTTTGCCCTGAACTTTCAGCATCACCAACCCGTGGATCCCCCCCTTAGTTAACCATCTAAAATTTTGATTGATTTAATCAGTTTAACGGGTAGATTAAAAGTAGACTTGCATTCTGTTGTTCTGTGTACTTGGATTAATAGGAAATGGTTCCCTAATGCTTCCTTTAAAATAAAAAAAAGTTGTTTTAATTTTAGCTTCATTCCTTTCCCCCCAAAGTTTATGTTGTCCTTTCTTTCCAGGCTAAAACATTAGCTCAACTCCTGTGTGGGAACTGTGCTTGGGCCCCCACAATCCTGTTTTGTTCCTTTAGAATGGTGCAATCAAAATTCTTAAGACTTACCCAGATGGGACTCAAAAATGCAAATCTGAGACTGGAGACAGGCATGATTAAAGTATTGGCTAAGGTGTACCTGGCCTCCATCAATCTATGGCTAAAATTAAACCTCGCCCCTAAGAGGCTAACCCCCCTTATTCTTAATGACAGCTTTCAGTCTGCATCGGAAAAGGCAATAATTGATAATTTGGGATTTTCTCCTCATTTGATTTTGAAAATGGGACTTGAGCAAGCAAAAGCTTCAATAAAGCAAAGGGTCTTAGACATTGAATGGCAGTATGATGTAGCGAGGTCACCAGCCTTTCTAGCTTCACAACGAGTCAGATATACAGCCACCAATGCTCCCTCTAAGCTGTGGAGTCTTGTGAGCAAAAATTCTACTTTGTGAGCTACTGGCATTAAAGCTGTGAGCGAGTGATTTGGCCACTGCATCAATTAGTTTGCTCTGGAGCCATCCTTCCTGAGCTGAGACAAAAATCTGTGAGCTGGAGGCTAAAAAACTGTGAGCTAGCTCACACTAACTCAGCTTAGAGGGAACACTGACAGCCATCCCAGCGGAATACCTGTTTCAGCTGGAGATCCCAAGCCATTGGAGGGCGTTTACTCTCGCTAGATGGCAAGCCCTCCCAACAGCAGTAGTAGCCCGATGATATAAAAAGATTCCTTTGAATGAAAGATTATGTCCTTGTGGCAGTGGCGAGATAGAAACAATAGAACATGTCCTCCTTTACTGCCTTTTTAATCAAATGAATCGCTCAAAGTATATCTCCCCCTTGCTCAATAGAAGTCCTGGGTGTTCAGAACTAGGATATGTTAAAGTGCTGCTCCTGGGAGAAAACCCACAGGTGACTGCACCTTGGGTGAAAGTCTGTGCAGCAGCCTGCAAAACTTGATTGAACATTCAAGAAAGTAAGGAAACTCAACATTAGTGGCTGCAGCTAGATTGGCCATAGCTAAAAAGTGAAAATCCCCTTCGGCTTCCTCACTTCATAATTGGCAAGCAAATCTATGGGAGCAATATATTATGGGGAAGATTACGAATAACCCCTTTTTTCTGACTCTCCCTTGATTATGAGGAAACCTGGGAACCAGTCATAAAATATCTCGCTGATGAGAGAATTATCCCTTCTGATCAGCAGATGAACATCATCATTGGAATTATAAAAGGGTAGGAGATTTGCATAAATTATGGAATTATCTCGTTTTAGTTAGGTAGTTTTATGATGAAATTGTTTTTAATTTAAATGACATTTTGATATTACTGTATGTATTTTCTTATTTAATAAAAAAGTAAGAATGAAAGGAAACATAAAGTATGACATAAACCAATATATATATATATATAATTTTATAAATTTTAAGTTTTAAAGGTAAAAATCCTTCTCTCACACTGTATCCCTATGTCTTATTGGCATGTTATTTAAAATTTCTAATATAAAATTTATTATAGTTTTATCTGAAACTTCTAACGATTTTGAGTGATGACTGTGGCATATTTTATTCTCTATTTCATGCTGGTGTAATACCATAACAAATGACTTTGAATTTGAATTTTGTTGTCCTTTCTCTCCCTCTCCTATTTTCTAACAGCAGGAAAGGATTTCTTACACCCCTCCTGTGAGCCCAGTGCCAAATTACGCTTCCTCGTCGCCACTACATGTCCCAGTGCCGCGAGCGACCAGGATGGAGGAAGATGCCATCAGGCTACCAGCCCACCTGCGTGAGTCTTTCCCTAACGGTCCAGGGAGAGGGAAAAGGGAGGAGTAAAAACTATGTCGGAGGCTTGGCATTTGCAAACAATATAAAATTGCTCAGAAGTGTGCTGGAGATTAAATTCCTTCATCACTGCATGGATCGACTCTTTTTTGTTGTGGGAAGGATATTGTTAAGGGTCAAAGTAGAGTATACTCCAATTGTCCCTGTTTAGCAGGGACAATTGCAGATTTTCCAATGCCAACGTGCCAATTTCTTCCCTATTCTGCATTTTGGGCTAGCCTTTTGTAATTGTCAGTGTGAGTCGCTCGTGTTGTTGTTCATCAGGTTTTAGCCTGCCTTCCAGTTAAAAGTCTGAGGGTTATGCAGTATGTGGATGCACCTTAACTTTATGAGTTATGCCAGGTATGTCTCATTTTGAATATGCTGTAAGCAGAACCTGAAAAACCCTGGGTGCCAGGTTGCCATGGTGCTTAGAAATATATTTGTGATGCCCAGAATGTCTGCGCCCTCCTGTGAGGCCAGCGGAGGGGAGTTCTTTGGCCTGGCAGAGGTCATCAGCTCCCAGGAGAGCCATCCTGCAAGGATCCCCCTGCAGTGGCGGCTGCTCTGGCAGCTGCAAACCTCTGATCTTCACTGGGTAACCAGGATTTCCCCTTGACTCACAGCTCCTTGGATTCAGGCCAGGAAGGGGGGCAGATTATAGGCAGATTATATAGACCCAAGGCAGCTAGCCTCACAGGTCCTCTTTGCTGGATGCTGCTGTCGGTTGCAATGCTCCCTCTAAGCTGTGGAGTCTTGTGAGCAAAAATTCTACTTTGTGAGCTGCTGGCATTAAAGTCGTGAGTGAGCGATTTGGCTGCCGCATAAATTAGTTTGCTCTGGAGCCATCCTTCCTTCGCAAAGACAAAAATCTGTGAGCCGGAGGCTAAACAACTGTGAGCTAGCTCACACTAACTCAGCTTAGAGGGAGCACTGGTCGGTTGGTGTGTGTATGGCGCTTTGGGAGGCTTTGTACAGGATAGTGCCCTTCCAAGGCCGGAGCAGGGAGCATCAGGCACCCCCTGCAGTCAGCTGTGGGATTTGCTTGTGCGCAAGATGCAGCAGGGAGCAGCGTGTTGTAGGGCAGGGATGGGATGGGGAGTGGGTGGGAGGGGCTTCCAAACGTGGAGATAAGGGAAGCTGGGGAGAAGACTGCTGGGTTCACCCGCCAGAGGTTTAGCAGTGCAAAATGGTCTCTGTTGTTTTCGTCTTCAGTGGAACACAGAGGGTCCTTGTGGCTGATAGCCTGCAACAGACATTTGCTTGAGACTGTGGAGGCCAGGCCGCATCTGTGTGCACCTCTGAAGCAGGCTTGGGCATGAACCTTCCCCTGGTGACCTGGGGAGGGGGAGATCTGGCTGAAGCCTTACCTGCATCACACACGGATCAAGGTGGGCAGCCGTGTTGGTCTGAAGCAATAGAACAAAGTTAGAGTCCAGTGGGGCACCTTTAAGACCAACAGAGTTTTATTCAAGGTGTGAGCTTTTGTGTGCAAAGAACACTTCGTCAGACAATGGACAGTCATTGTCCGATGAAGTGTGCATGTGCACGAAAGCTCACACCTTGAATAAAGCTTTGCTGGTCTTAAAGGTGCCATCTTTACACACACTCATCTTGTCTCCGTGTTGTATGTTAATATATTTTCTGCGTGCCAAGGATCAGTTGTTTTAAACAAATTAAATCTGGCCAGTTTCTGGTATTTGTGCACTCCGAGTTTTATTTTAAGGCTGGTTTGATTTTAAGATTGAGTGTGGGTTCCATATTGTAGGAGGCTAATCACACTCTTTATTGAGATGCAGTATAGCTAAGAAAAGAGCTGCGGTGGCTCAAGTGGTTAAGACGCTGAACTGCAGGCTGTGGAAGGTCGGTAGTTCAGCAGTTCAAGACCCGAGTGCCGCATGATGGAATGAGCTCCCGTCTCTAGTTCCAGCTCCTGCCAACCTAGCAGTTTGAAAGCAAGAAATTGCAAGTAGATAAATAGGTACCACTTCGGTAGGAAGGCAACAGCGTTCCATGCGCCTTGGTGTTTAGTCATGCCGGCCACATGACCATGGAAACGTCTTCAGACAGCGCTGGCTCTTGGGCTTTGAAATGGAGATGAGCACCGCAACCCTAGAGTCGGATTCGACTGGCTTTCGAGCAAGGGAACCTTTACCTTTACCTATAGCTAAGAAGCCCAGTTTTCACCATGAAATTTGTGTTTGGGTGTGTGAAAACCAAAAACAAACAAAAAAGACATCCTATGTTGTATTTTTATTTTTTTATCATGACTATGTGGGGTGGCAGCTGATGATGACACAGGGCACATGAATAGGAGTCTGATTCCTGAGTCCACAGTAAATGGGTCAAGGTCTATGTTATGGGTCAGTGATGTTTTTCTAGCATATTTTTTTTACCAAAAGAACAAGCTCCCTTCATGTGGTGTTGCATTTTGAAAAAAATTGGTGCACAGTGTAGAAATCTGAGCATGCAGCATGTATCAGACAGAGAAGACGGTTCGATCCAATCAGCTTTTGAGCCAGTGAAACAGGGAAGGGGGTCCTGTTTGTTCAGCAGAGAGGTTATGTGGGGGAATCATGGGACCTGTATGGACAAAAGCCATGAGGAACATGGATGGTAAGAAGGAGCACTGGGTGAAAATGAGCAGAAAAACGCTTGGCTGGATCCAACTCAGGAAGTCATAGCCTGGATGGAGATTCCTAAAGTGAGACTAGAGGTCTTACAAGAATGTTTCTTATTTTCATCTGGAGATTGTTGTGGATTCTGCGAAAGGGTTCAAATAGAAGATGGTCCTGAACTATCTGTCCTGATTGTAGTACCTTCATTTGGTATATTTAATCCACTGAGACAAATTTTGAATCCAGTGGCACCTTTAAGACCACCGAAGTTTTATGCAAGGGTATAAGCTTTCATGTGCACGCACACGATAGCTTATACCTTGAATAAAACTTCGGTGGTCTTAAAGTTGCCACTGGACTCAAACTTTGTTCTACGTCGGCTATCCACCTGAATCTTAATCTACTCAACTATTTGATTTCTAGATTTCCTCTTAAACGCTCCTTTTAACATCCCCCTCCACACCTAAGTTCATTATCTCTAATGATGCCCAGAAACAGTTTTCAAATTCCCATCTGCATGAGGAAAACCAGTGCCAGAGTTTCATTTCTCCACAGTCTTGTATTAAATGGCCTTACCATATATCATTAAGTGCTTTCTCATGTGGAGTGTGTAACGCCCCTGGGGCAAATGCTTCTGGGAAATGGCCAAAATGTATATGAAGGCACTTTGTACTCTCTGCCAGAAACAGGTAAGCAAAAACCTTCCCTGAGAAGCACAGGATGCGGCGCCTAAATCACAAGCAAGCATGTCTGAAGGACTGATTTTTTTAGAATACAAGTTGAGAAAAGGATGGCGGGGAATCCTAGTTTGCTCTTTTTTCAGGTCCTTATCAGCTGCTGCTGTAACTAAATCCAGGAGTTTTTCTTGTGTCCTAGACTGGGGGCAGCTGTGCTCTTTCATTAAAACAAATCTCCAAACCCCAGGAGTGAAATACCACTATTAGGATCAACCCCAGATGCCACAAATTAGTGGGTAAGCTTTCTAGTCCTCCAGAACTCTTCATCAGGGTGGATGTTAAGCCCAAAACAACCCCCCCATCCCCAAAACAGAAGAAGGGAAGAAGAGAACAACCTGCCATTGGCTCTCAATGACTGTGCTGTGGAAAAGATGGTTACAGAACGTACCAGAGGGCAGGCGATCCTGGACTTGGTCCTAAGTAATGCTCAAGACCTTATGAGAGATGTAAACATGATAGAACCGGTGACTGTAATGCTGTAAAGTTTAGCATTTATGTAAATAGGGAGTTGTCCAAAAAGATCAATACAACCACATTTAACTTTAGAATGGGTAACTTCTCTCAAATGAGGGGGCTTATGAAGAAGAAACTGAAAGGAAGGGTAAGGAGGAGGCTCAAATCCCTTGGGCAAGCTTGGAGACTATTTAAAACTACAATGCTGGAAGCACCAATAAAATGTATTCTGCAGGTTAGGAACGGTATGAATACGTATTTAAAAAGGTCTGCATGGTTAACGAACACAGTAATGGAAGCAGTAGAAAGGTAAAAAGGATTCCTTTAAGTGGTGGAAGTCTAGTCTGAGTGATGTAAATAAAAGGGAGAACAGGCTTTGGCAAATAAAATGCAAGTTGGTGTCTGGATGGGCAAAAAAGGTCTATGAGGAATGTATTGCAAAAAAACCCATAAAGACCAACAATAAAAAATTCTTCAAATACATTAGAAGCAGAAAATCAGCTAGGGAGGCAGTGGAGTCACAGGATGACGAAGGGGTTAAAGGGCTACTAAAGATGATAGGGAAATGGCAGAGAAGCTGAATGCATTTTTTGCCTCCGTCTTCACTGTGAAAGATGGGAGGTGCTTGCCTACTCCAGCACTACCAATTTCAGGAGGGGTATCAAAAGACCTGAGTCAGATTGAGTTGACGAGAGAGGAGGTCCTACGACTGATGGACAAGTTAGAAACTGACAAATCTTGGCTTAAGACCTCTGGTCAATGAAGCTAATAAATGAAGGAAGGAAAACTGACAACTCACCAGGCCCCAGATGGCATATCTCAACAGAACTCAAATGTGAACTTGTGTATCTCCTGACAAAAATATGCAATCTATCACTAAAATCTGCCTCCATTCCTGAGGACAGGAAGGTAGCTAATGTAACCCCCATCTTTTAAAAAAGGTTCTGGGGGGGATCTGAGAAATTACAGGCCGGTCAGTCTAACGTCGATACTGGGGTAAGTTGGTGGAAACCGTTATTAAGGAGAGAATTAGTAGGTGCATTGATGAACAAAAGCTGTTGAGGAAGAATCAGCATGGATTCTGTAAGGGAAGAACTTGTCTCACTAATCTTTAGAGTTCTTTGAGGGGGGTGAACAAACATGTGGACAAGGGTGAC